ATATATATATATATATATATATTCAGAGGTCTAAATAGGAAATATTGAATATAAATATATTTAATAATTTTTTCATTTCAAATTCTATAATAGTAAATTCTAATTAAAATCCTATTTTTAGCTCATGTATATATTGTATTATTATATAATATATGTAAATAATACGAATATATAAAAATTATATTCTATTATAAGTAATGGTATATCTAATATAAAAAGTAAACAATAAAAATAAACTCTGTTCTATAAACGATGAACTCGGAAACCGAAAACCATGAAAAATAATTTTTCTTTTCTATAATATAAGGGTTTTATTATATTATATATAATACGAGCATGTATATTTATGTTGTGCTGATTAATATATTTTTTCCCTTATTTTTTTAATAGAATATATAAAAAAATATAATTACAGTTCTTAAATTTAATTCTGTAATCGTACGTAATATGTTAAATATGAATATCTATATTTTTATTTATTAAATTTATAATGTAACAATTGTCAATATACTTTAATATATTACTATTACGTTCATGCTTTTCATAAATGTTATTATTGCATTTTGCATAAGAATACTTCATAATTTAAACATAATTTAGGAAAATATATTAAAAAAACCTTAGGAAATGTTAATTATAATTATATCATTATATATCCAATTTTTTCTGATAATTATTATTATTACTTCGCTATAAAAAAAAGGTTTTTCAATTTGATTTTATTTTATGAGCACATTATGAACTTATTAACTGTTATTGTGTTTAATAGGATTAACATATTCATTCATAACCTATTTTATACTTATCACACAATTTTTTTTGAGTCATTTCGTATGATTCCTTCTGTTTACTATAATATTTTTTTTCTTTCCAAAAAAAAAAGAAACTTTTTATCATCTTTCCCTTTGGTTGTATATATATAAAAATAAGAGATATAGAGAAAACAAATGCAAAATAATGTATTTTTATGAATACTTTATTAATTTCACATAAATGTTTAATAATCATCGTTAACATATATGAAATACAACATATATATATTAAATTATATTTATTTTAAACCTTATATAAAATGAATATCATTATTAACACTGCGAATGTTATAACAACCGTGGTTGCAAATAACCTTATTACTGTCGATCTATTTGTGTCTATATTTTTCTCTACTTCAATAGCTATGGATGCTTCTTTGGTCTTTGGTACTGCTCTATCTTTGTTTTGTAAATGTAAAACAGTGGGATCTATTATTTCCTCAGATTCTGTTCTTTCTACTCTGCTCAACATATTGTTTGCGGCTCTCTCTGTAATCTCACATATATTGGATTCTATAACTTCTAGGTTCAAATCAAAACTACTGCATTTATTACAACTATTGAAATCAATCGTAAATTTTTGTAGTACAGGACTTAAATTAATGCGTTTTTCATTTCGACTTATACATAAAAGCTTTTTGTAAGTCTCATTACATTTTGTACACCAATCGTCTGTCTGATCGCCATTACATATATAATCCAAATTCTTATATAATTCATCCAGATTTTTCATTACATTAAATGTCTTTTCATCAATTCCGTTAATGTATCCTTTACATACATCAGGTATTTTCCAGCTTCCATTAGTAACTTTTTTTATCATTTCATTATAACATTCATCTACACTATCACAATTAAGATTAAAATTTTCTTTTAGCTCATGTATTTTGTAGTTGAAGTACATGCAATATATATTTCTATTTTCTTCATATTGATTTATATAATTCAAATATATACAAAGCTCCATGCAACTTAAATTAAAATGTTTCCCCTGAATTGTTAATTTTTCTATATTTTCGCAAAAATTCTTACATGCCTGCAACGCAACATTGCCTGAAAGGCTACTAGTAGAATGTACACTAGCATCCTTATAAGTATTTCGACACTGTTGAAACATACTAATATCAATCTATAAACGAAAGTTATGATATATGTAGTAATATAAGATGATAATTTTATTAAAATAATCTATTCTTTATTTGCAAATATAGAAATAATTATAAATTATTTATGGTAAATTATAATTTAATTAATAAAAGCATACACCATTCACAGGACTACTATCTACCATTTTTGAATATAGGTGTAAAATAATTACAAAAATATATTTCTTGTATTTTTTATGAATATAACTAAGACTTTGTAATATTACAATCTTATGCAAAGCTTATTAATATATGTATATATATAATTATTACTGTAATTTTTTAATTCATATTTTAATAAAATTAATCTTATATAATAAAAAAGGAAAGTATACATTGATTTCATAAAAAAAAAGTACTACATTACATGAATATATGAAAAGTAACATACATTAGTGATATTTAAATTTATTAATAATTGTAAATAATATAATATGCGTATATAAAAAAAATATGTACATGTTTTTTAAATGTGGAAAATATATTATTTGTATAAAAGTACGAAAATATTGTAAAAATATTATATAATATAAAATTCAATTAGAGAATATTTATACTTTAATATATAATATCATTTATAAATTATATATATAATTGTTATTGTATCATATATATATATTTTAATTTCATAGTTAATGCCAATATCATGCAAGTTTCATAATGTACATTTTTCATTTGTTCCTATTGAAACATCAAATCTTTTTATCTAACATGAATATAATTAATAAGAATATATATATATTTTACCTGAATTTAATGCATTTAAGACAAATAAAAATATTGAGTGGTATGTGATTCAATTATTATTATATTATATAATGCATTTTAATAAAATATAAATATTTATTGTTTTTGTTTTTAATATATTTATTATGCTTATTTAATTTTATATTATGTAATTTTTCTCTTTAGATCCATATCTACTTAGCATCTATTGTAATAATGTAATAATAATTTATATGTAAATATAAAATAATATCGTTATTATAATTATATATTTTATAAATTTACAATACAAATAATTAAATTGATATATCATTTTCAGTCGCAGAAAAAAATAAGTGCTTAATTTAATAATAGCATAATGCTTATTAAACGTTATTTTTTTGTAATAAAAATTTATTCATTTTTCTCATAATTCTTTGAATATTATAACACATTTATTTCACTTGTTATTTTTTTATTTTTGACATAACCCTATAATATATATATAAGTTACATTTTTATTTAATATTCCATATTTCATGCTACGAATTTAATGTAAAATAATTCATATAGAATTTATTTCATCGATCATATATATGTGCATGTTAGTCTTAATATTTATATTGCACATTTTATTAATAATATAAAAAGTTAAATTTATGTTAAGTAATCTTTATTTCTCTTAAATTATTTTATTGAATTTCAGTATTACCTAATGTCCCCTGTTCATTCTATATATAGATAAACCAATGAAGCATATTAATCTTAAATAGAACATAACTAATTTAAATATAAACATTTTGTTTCGAAAAAAATATATTTCATTATTAAAAAATTATTAACAACATAAGTAAATAGTTATAGGGATTAAATACGCAATAACTATGTTTTAAATAATTTATAAATATATAAGATTTGTGTATTGCAATTTAATTATAATTTGTTCCATTTTATGATAAATGGACATTATATATATTATAGTATAAAATTATTTGTTATACTCAATATTTACTTTAGTATTATTAATATGGTACTCATTGGAACTTTGACATCAAAAAAGTAGTGTTCTACTTATCATTAAAATTATTACTAATGAATATATATTAAATTCATAAAAATCACCAAAATTCAATTTAAACAATAATTTCATTTTTATCTTGGATGAATTATTTATATCGATAGAATTCATATATAGAGGAATTTATTTTTTGAAAAATTCTATATAATAATTATTAAGAATTATAAAAATATGCACTCATTTGTGTAAAATTTTATTTTATTTCAAAGACATATTTCTCAATATAGATTTACTAAACAAAGAGAAAATATATGTATATACCTAAAGTAATAATCAAAATCCAATTTATATATATACAGATGTATTCAAAATAAAATAAAACATGAATATAATATAAATCATGCTTATTATATATTTTCCTAATAAATAGTATTATTTATTATAATATTTTTTAAATTCATAAATATTTTGATTACTGTTATTTTAAAATTATATATTATACTCTTCAGAATACTTATAATTTGATAAAAAATGTAAATATATATTTTATTATAATAAAGCATTAAAAAACAGCGAACAATATTATGAAGGATTTCACAAATCTATATGTATACTTAGAAGTGTTTTTTTGTTGTTATTATATTATAATATTTTTCTATAGTTTATTTAGCTAAATAAACTATAGAAAAATATATAATTTGATATATTTGCTCCTTATATTAATCGTAATCTAAAAAACATTAAGCTATAATAAAAATTATTGATACATTCGATATAAGATTTATGCATGCTTAAATACATATAAATATACAAAAAATAGTTCACTAGTACACTATTTATATTAATTAAGGTTTAGTATATTAACAAGAGAATATCCTATTATGAGAAAGCCTTATAGACTCATTACTTATATGATAACTTTAGGAGAATTAATTTCTAAAATATACATATTAATAATATTTATTTATAAAACATTAATTTTATATTAATACCAGGTGCCTCGTCATGTTAATTTTGTCTTGATTTTTGATTAAAATTTTTTTATACGTAAAAATTTAAGGTAATTTTGGAACAAGTTAAATTTGTTCATGATATTATAACCAATATTGTTGTATTTAACAAACATTACAATTTGATCTAATGATATAAGTAATGTTAATTATGGTATTATTTATATATTATATTTATTTTCTAATATTTCCAATAATAAATTGCAATAAAGCTCAGAAATACGACCTTCATTGTAATCCACATTATTCATTAGTAACTGTTCAGTTATATAATTTCCTATAAGAAATATATATAATATTTTTATAATCATAAATTGATTCACTCTACAAAGGATGTCTATATTTTTTATGGACGCTATTATAGGATATTATACTGAAGTAGTTTTATTATCATAGCACATATATTGTTTATAAAATTATTTATAACATAAAAAATTTCCTTATTCACTGATATATTAACTTAACTTATAATATAAGTACATATAAAATTCTACAAACAATAGTAGCGGCATAGTTACAATTATTATAAGATATGCATTCATTTCATTGAAAAATAAAATCAAAAAAAATGTTATACCATCTAAAATTTCCTGATGGACTACATAATATTTAAAATATGTAACATTTATATGTTTTCATCTAAATTTTTTTGTATATTATGTTTTTCAGTAATTCAAATAACTTGAACACTTCGAAAATTATATAGAAATATATAATATAAATTATGTAAATTTATTCAAATGTATATAAATTATTAATATTAATTGAAGTATTTATTTTTATAAAAATAGAACAAATATAATAATTTCTATTTTAGTCTCCAAGAAAACTAATGTAGTCTAAATTATTTTATCATGTATAATGTAATTAATAGGTTCAATTATTCGAAGAATTATCTATGTATTGTAACCAAAAAAGATTTACTAAATATTATTTTATATAGACATTTAAATTAATAAAGGAGATTTTTTTAATGAATTAATTGAATAGTTCATTTAACAGATGTTATATTCCATTTAGTTAATATATATCTGAAGTTCTTATACATAAAATAAATAAATTGGAGAAATATTTTACTTATATAACGATAGATTAAAAGAGGTGTATTTTTTTAGTAGAATAACACAGTTTACTTATAATATTATAAATATGTTCCTTTTAATAATACTAATAAACACATGTATTCAAACAAATAGTTCTGTTTAAAATGTAATTTATTTATTTTTCTCTGCTTAATTAATAGATTTATAGATAATCATCCAAAGGACACCTTAAATTTGTACATAAAATTATAAATAACTTTTATATAATTCATAATATTGTGTTATATTCATAAAAGAATGCTATTTAATAGGTTAATGAATCCTTATGAATTCAATAATTATGCTGTTTAATATACATACTTATTTCTAAACATATTACTAAATAAGATATTCAATATTACTACTCTACTATAATGAATATTTACTAAACATGTTAGAATAAACTTTATTTTCATTTTTTCTACCAATAATTATAAATATAAATTGTTGCATAAACTATTCATATATTCTGATAATCCATGAAGTAATATATTTAAATTTTTTGACGCTGAATTATATACGTCCTTTGAATATGCTAAGAAAAATGATATGTTAAAATATACCAACGTTTTATACATTTATGTTAGACACATTGTAATTATCAGGAAATCAATTAATGCATTCAATGATTTACATAATTTTTTCCTTATCATTTTAATTGTATTGTTTATAAATAATTCAAATGGAATTAAGTGCCATTGCAAAAATATATCGAATATTTTTAAAAAGAAAAATATTTCTAATAAAATAATTTGATAAAATTATTATATATCAACGGTAGACTTAAACAAAAATATATAATTTCACTATAATTCATAAATAAATTAAGAGACAGTAATGGTAATATAACTATAAATTGAGCAAAAAATTATGCTCATATTATCTCAAACATCAGGTGATAATATTTTTGTGTAATTATTTTTAGTAAATCTTATCATATGGTATTTATAATGGTTCTAAAATTTTATAACTCACTAAACAAATCCTTACATATGCCTTTAGGTCATTCATTTATATTGTTTATAAAAATAAATATAATATAATTATAGATTAATGAAAATCATATATATGATTTATTCAAAAATTTTTTCTAAATTTAAGTGGAGAAGGGATATATGAATAACACTTTTTATGGAATATTTATACATTACCTAAATCATCAGAATTAAAAGAAACTTCGACACCGATTTTATAAAAATTTATATCATTTTAACTCCTATATTTTAGAATCATTACTAAAATCCAATTATGAACAAGATTTAAATCAGTATCTACTTGTGCTTATTTATTGTTATGGATTTAATATTATATAAATAATGCACAACTCTTTTATAATGTAAGCGTTGTATCATTCGTTATTATATTCATGCTTTACAGTATATTTTATAACTTCTTAATATATACCACTAAACATAATAAAATTGTGACTAATTCACTTATCTAATACATCATTGAATTTATAAGATAAATATATAAATTTTCCCGCACACAAAATTAATCATTCAAGACATTTTAAAAATATATAACCCTTAGTTACCTCTATTTAATGTTTATACACTATTTTTACCATGGTAACTACTAGATGTGTTTCGTTTTTATACCATTTTCTCTATACATTCCTGTTCGTATGAGGTTAGAATTTAGAAGATACCATTTATAACCCATATATACAAACAATAATGCATAAATAATAAAAATAATTGATGATATGTATTTGTTCAATATATAATTGTATGTTATAATACTTAAAACTTATATTATCATAAAAATAGTTTTATTTTTGTCCTATATCCCTTAAAGGGTCGTTAATGTTAAATGTTATATTTTTGACATTTCATGATTTTATGCATATATCACATCCAACAAACTTTTTCTAACATTATTTATGATGAATTTTTCACAGATTAATATATTAAAAGTTTTCCCTTCTTATTAGCTTCATCACATGGTGGTCCTCAATCCAATAGCATCAATTCGACGTGACACTACTGAATTATGATTTTCTCTGTTTTTATTTTTGCTCAATGCTTATTTTAATTTGAATTTTAAATAATTGAAATTTTCCATAAATTAAATCCCATTTTTCACCAAGTATATTATTGTTTTTCTACTATAAGTTACATTATTTATATTTTTTATACGCCATTTTAATAATATTTATAATTTAATTAATGAGTTTGAAAATTCATCGTGTGATACATATTTATGAATATCTATATTTGTTCCACTATGAGACGCGCTACCATTGCTCTTTATTTAGGTACTTCGTTCTCATTATTCACAGAGTATATATAAAACTTCTGGTTTAATAAACGTCCAATGAGTATTAATTTTAGAACAAAAAAATAATTTTCTATGAAAATATTTGTATGAATATATTATATTTTGTGCATTATTTAATTATCTTGTAAACAATTGAGATACGTTTATATATATATTGACTTCCTATATAACAAACTTCAATCTGTATAATGATAAATTAATTTTTACACTTGTCAATCCAAGAATTTTTATAAATTAATAATTGTGGATCTATAATTATAATAAAAAACAATTTCAAATATATATCAATCAGGCTGAACACTAAAATTAAGAAATATGATATTCATTCAAAATTCAACATTTAAATTTTGTAGTAATATATCAAATATACATATCTATTAAAATATATAATTTTAAGAATAAATTATAATTTTTAATTAAAGATTATTTACATTAATACAAAATCAGTTTTTAATGATTTTGATCATTAATTTTTTATTAACTTTTTTAAAAGAAAAAAGTAGTTTTCCTTTAAAAATGTAGTTGTAAAATAATATAAAATGCATTTTGTATAAATTTTGTTATTTATTGTATATCGTATTTATTTGTTATAAAAATTTATTATGCATATAAAATTTTAATGAAAAGTTAAAATTAAATATGTAATTTATATCAAATAATATTATCTAATAAGATACACGCTAAAATGTTAATAACTCATGTCTAATCATTATACTATTTTATTTATATGATGGCATATATCTAATTTTTTTTTGTTTTTTTTTTTGCACATTAAAATCTAAGGTATTTAATATTTGAATGAGTAGAAATTGAACTTATTTAATGCTTAAAATATAAATATATATATAATAAGTTATAATGTGTAATTTGTTCTATAATTATCTTTAATTAAAATTGGCGCGCAAGTAATATTAATTTTTTTGTGGCTTATGTAATATTGTGTTATTATTCTATTAATATATTATAATAATAGACAAAGTAAATAATAAAATTTAAGTATATAAAAATAATTTAAACATTGTACATAATACATATTGTAACATCACATAAATTTTACGAAAATAGTATTTCACAATAATAAAAAATTACACGTAACATAAATATAAATAAAATATGAAAATATATATCTGTCATATAAAATTATACTTTATTGCTGCATTATACAAAGTGATATGGAGAAATAAACCCTTAATAAATATTATGAGTCAATTCTAAATATATTTATTTTACAATACAGAAATACGTATTCATGTGTACAAATGATATTTTTGTACTTATAATAAAATTGCTATAAACCTAAACTAATCCTGACGAATTACTACTTTAAGGTGTCTTTGTTTTTCCTATATGTTTGATTTTTCTGAAGAGTGTGAAATTGATATATTCAATTAAATACATATTTAGTTATTTAATATATTTTTTTTTTAGCAATATAAATGCAAAAATCCTGGCACATATTATAGCTGATTTCTTATGTAATGTTTCAAAAAGAAATATTGCTGTGATATTAGATAATAGATTTATTATTGTGCTATTTACAACCATTAATTTACGATAGAATGTGAAAAAAAAAAAAAACTGTTTACATAGATATTTCTATACATAAAAAAATATATTCTAATGTAGATATAATTTTAATATAAAAAAGTTAATTAGTTATGTAAAGTAACACAATTTCTGTCTTTAGTGTTATTTTTTGAATTTTTATGAAAATGTATGTTTTATCTGCCTAATTTATTAAGTGTTGAAAAATGTATATTACACACATTCATCTTATTTTGTACATGTATGAGGATTAAAATAAAAATTAGATAATTTTACAATATTCATTCTCTGGCACATTGGACAACATTTAATAGCTTGTGCACAAAACAGAAAGAATAAATTTCGTTGCGCACTTATTTTGTGAAATGTATGAATTGTATAATCATACATTTATTGTTAGAACTTTGTGATGATAATAAGTATTATTAACATAAAATACACAATTTTTTTCCATGTATATATTCTATATTATTGATTTTGTCTTTATGAATGTAATAATTACTCATTTAATATATACAAACTATATTTTTATTGAAATTTATTATATAACATTATCTAAATGAGAAAAAATAATTGATAAAAAATCATTCATGTGAGTGATGAATGTATATACTTCAAACTATACATTATTATATAAGCTAACACGTCTGTTTATAAAATGAATTTTTAATAAGTCTTTTGTTGAATAGCTTATGATTAATAAATTTTAATTGCACTTGTGCAAAATTGATTTAATATATTTCCGTAAATACGTATTATTTATATTATTATTATATGCTCCTATAGAAATATATTGATAAAATGATTATATATAGCACGTTGTTACAACATATTTTTTGAAAAATCATGTCTATTTTTCATATTATTGTTCTATCTTAATATGTAAATGAATTAAGGTTTATTTAACAATAATAGGTTTACTTATATTTTAAGCACAATAATAAATAATATATGTAATTCGATTTTATAAAAATTGAGAATTTACTTATAAATATATGCGTTAACATACAGTTTGTAATTTCATTATATAGATATGACACCACCTGTGCTGGACGTAGAACTTATAAGAAGGCTTGTAAATTGTTTTTTTTATGATTTATGAAATAATCTTATTAATTTTGACTAGTATTAAATTCTGTGTAATGCATTATAACCATAGAATATACATCTATTCATATAAATTATATATATATTTTTTAATTTCAGTATCCCTTTTTAAGGGGAACATGGGAACATTATGAAAATTTCGATACATCTGCTGAGATTACTGTGAAGAACCAAATATACGATAAATTCTGTAAGGAACTTAAAGATTATATTAAACCATATCAAGATAAGTTCTATGATTTATGTTTTAAAGTTGTAAGAAATCTGGGTATATTTTGTAATGATTCCCAAGTTTGCAAGTCTGGCTCAAATCACTGTAATAATTTAAACATCTGGTTATATAATTACAAAAGAAAAAATCATATTCATAGTAATCTTATTAGTTACATTTTCAAACTTATTAAAAATATATCTACTAGAATAGGATATAATAATAATTGTCCTTACTATTCTTACGATACAAATTTTTTTGAACCACTTGTCATTACAGTTATACATATATTTCAGACGAATATAGATGTCATTGTGAAAACTTTGCTTGAGCATGATGATTCATTAAAGTGCTCGTGTCGAGAATTTGTTCATAAAGTGGTAAAACTATATAAAGGTATGAAAGATAAGTATTGCTCTGGGAAGTGGACTGCATATCCTAAAATAAAAGAAAGAACATGTTCATATTTAAATGAATTTAAGATAATATATAATGAATATCTTTATAAGAAAGCTTCCTTAAATGAAATAATACCATCCTTGGAAACGGAACAAGATGAAGTTTTATTCATATGCCAATCGAGTTATGAAAAAAATTTATCATCATTAGTAGATCAAATTCTACCAGTCCCACTCGAAGAAGATGCAGAATTATTCACAATAGAATCAGATGATACACTAATCGAACCACAACAACTCGAACACCCAAATTTAAGTTTATATATAATAAAAATTTTACCCTACACTCTTGCTATATTTGCTGGAATATCTTCCCTTTTGCTGTTATCTTATAAGGTTAATAGACTGCCTTTTGAATTATATTAAAAATAAAGCAAGCAATTTTTTATGCTATGTATTCATAATAAATAAAAAAACGTTTATATAATACTTATACACTAATATATAAAATTAATATGTTTTTTATTAGTTCACCCCAATTCGTAACTTGTTTCGTTCCAGAAAAAGAGCAAAAACAACAAGAAACACTTATAATGAAGATCTGGAAAATGAATCATTTTATCACATGTCTGATAATATGAATATAATTTCATATAATCAGAGATATGACATAACATATGGAAATTTATGAATATAAAAATTCTAATATAACATTAAAAATGTATTTTATTATCACAATAATTATGAATCCTTTTTAAATACTAAGTTATGATTCAAATAAAAACACCCAACTACCAAAATTGTGATATCATGTAAAATATAAAATAATGTCATTATAAGAATTAAACGAACACAATAATAATATTTTTATAAATTCAAATAAAAAATAGAATATAGTAATATATATGTAATATAACTAATTTTATTATATAAACAGATTTTAACGTATAAAAAAAAAATTAAAAAACAAATATATATAATTAATTCTGTATATTATAAATTAATACGTACGTTCTTATAAAAGATATTTTTCTTCCCAACAAAAAATTTTATACGAATAATTATAAAAAATATCAGCTAAATCTAACATATATACACAAAATTAAAATAAATTCAAAACATATAATTGCATAATATATCTGGTCCCAAACGTATAATTCCATTGTGTAACCAAAATTAAGATAAATTATAATAAAAGTAGATTCTATAATGAATAAAAACATGAAATATCCGATTTATTCTATTAAACTAAAATGAGAAGTGTTATTATACCTTTTAATATATGTTATTATGGTAAATTTTGTTCTCTACATTGAAATGAATGTTTATCAAGCACAAATGTAACAATATATAAACAAACACAATTAACAGTGTTTAATAATATCTTATTAGAAACCTTAGCACTTATAATAAACAAAAAATGAATGAATATTTAGAAATTTCAGGTACGTACATGCTAATAGCAAAATTTATAAAAATTTGTGACAACTTTTTAATATATAAATTATTCATTAACATAATAATCATGTATATTTTTCTTGTATTTATTTGACTCTTTTTTGTCTCCATTTATAAAACAATTTATTCGTTGTATAATATTGTTTTTTTTACAAATATATATTGTTAAAATTTTATCCTATTACATTCTATTGCTTTAAAAAGTGTATTCATTTAAATAACACTTATTCATATAAATTAATATACATAATTGTTACATTTTTCTTTACACAAAATAATTGTTGTTCTATATATGATTTCATTTACAATATATGAACAAAAGAATTTTCATACATTTTAACAACTTCAAAGATTTGTATATTTTGGTCAATTTGAATGTTAACGTGAAAATTATAATCTACTATTATGAAAAAAATATAATTTATCCTTGTTCCTTGTGTTAATGCATATAACATAAGTAATGTAATTAAAATTTTTTTCATTATCCGTAAAATTTTTATTTAAGCATTGATGAATCGACATATTTTTAAAAATATATTATTATTGATATTATATCCATAGTAAAAATATTTAACAAAATATGTAAAAATAATGAAATTTTCTTATATTATTTTTTTAGTAGTAAAATAAATTTATAAATAATGTATTTTTCAATATGAAGATGTTATTAGCACTGAACTATATTCTTATTTTTTTACATATTACAACATCGCTTTCCATACTAAAAAATATATACAAGTTACATAAGTTTTATAGAAATAGTAAATTTATAAATGTTTTAAGAAATTTTCATTATTTCACATATAATAAGTTTAACATAAATATGTGTGCATTATTAGCATAATTTTTAAAAAGTATGAATCTAAATTAGAAAAAAAAATCATATAGTAATATGCTATTAAGTCCTATTATTAAAAAAACTCCTATATATATATTTAAAATTTTTAACATATTTTTTAAAATAATGTTTTATAAATATTATTCATTCTTATTATCATTCTGTTAAAAGCACTATGTTACATTTTGCCTTAAATATTTTTTCTTCTATTATATCAGCTCATTCTATGTTTCTAAAAAATAATATAACATTTTATAATTTTTCAGCTTTTATTGAACTTTTATTTGAAATTTTAGTAGTTTTATCACATAAATGTCCGATATATACTGTATATTATACATTTGCACAAAAGGAAAGTTTATACACCTATTCATTAAAATATAAAAAAAGTATTATTCTATTTCTTTCATTCTAATATCAGGGACAGAATTAACACAACCATTGTTCTTAAAAATAAATTTTCAATATAACCAGAATTCCATAAAATAAGTCAAATATTTATTTTTAACATTGAATTTACATTTAAAGGATGTCTGTGTTTCATTCCCCATATAAAAAAAATTCAAAATTGGACATATATATATATATATATAACAAAACGAACAAAGTTATATATCATTATAGCACCTTAATAGAATTATGGTAATTTTATTCTTACTTATATTTCAGTCTAAAACAACATCATGAATAAAATTCCTTTTTTTATATTTAACATCCCGAATAGAAAACATCACATAATTAGGAATAATTGAAAACGATAAACATGTGACCTTAAAAAAATTAAAATAAATCAACATACAATAATAATATTGCAAACATTTAATTATAATGCTTATTAATATAATTATATAACATGTCTCATCATAAAAATAAATGCATCATAATATCCTTCACTAATGTTTTTTATTTCAATATTCTTATATATTATAGAAATCAAACATCATTAACATAGGTTCTATATATCACATTGAAAAAATATAACTTTTGTATATATATATATATATAACTCAGTTAAGAATTTTTAATAATAGTTTAATGAATTACCGATATTTAAATCCAATTCTAGCTAATTATACAAGGAATTAAAAATATATAAAATATTTAATTTATTATTATTTAATGTAAATATTATCAGGCGATAGTTTTAGTTCAATAATGATTTTTAAATAAAAGTTTTTTTCAATGAAGACATCTGTATGATCTTATTAATAGTGTAAATACACAAAATAGCAATTTTCTTTAAATTATGAACGTCGTATAAGCAATTTGTATTTACATAAATTACCATATTTATCGTAGTGACATAATTCAGTAAGTAATATTTAGTATGTAAATATGTTTTCTGCATAAGCTACCTTAATATATTTCTATTCATAGAATAATTATATAATTGGATATCATTTTCTGCATTTTCATGTTATATACACTTTTATATCTCTTGAACAACATGAACATTCCATTATATATTTATTAAATTATATTAGATTTCATTAACTCATAGTATATATTTGTTCTCTTATACGAAACATCGATAATATTATAAAAAAAATTTTGCTACATTCAATAGGAATATTATTATTTATGTAATATACTTTATCGTTGATTCATTAAAATGAATGCACATTGTGTGGAATATTAGCTCTCTACATATATGAGTGTGAGTTAAAAAATAATTTATTATTTTAAAATATATTTTTATACAATTTCAAGAAGAACAGATGCATTATTTTCTTTCGTAGCCACAACTATTGTTGCATACACAAAATTGTATATAGATTTTAATAACACAAAAAATAATAATTTATGAGTAACTTAAATAAATATTATTTTAAAAAAAAAAAATTAAGTATATGCTACAATTTATATGCCCCATCATACACTTTTTTATAAAAATACAATATAGTGTCCAATACACACGTTAATGATTGAGAAAATATGATCTCTCAATTCATAATAATTATTATTTCCAATGTGTTTCAGTTAAACACAACATTAATATATATAAGGTACTATGTTACAATGTCATTTTTCCATATATAAAATAAATCTAATAATGTAATATGTATACATGTATAAACAATCAAGAAAAATATATTACAATTATATGTTTACTACTAGTTATTTATATTACATATACATATAAAAAACAATTTATCCCTATATATTTTTAAGATAATTTTTATGAGAAGTAAATAGAAATTATTTAAAAAATTTTATACTTTAAAAGAGCAACAATATTGCATTATATGCTAAAATATAATTAAAATATTTTGAATATTAAAAGCATATATCACAAAATATATAGATTTTTTTTAATATATATTCCTTGTTATATTTATTTCAAGAGTTCAAAATTTTGATCCAATAGTAAATATAAAAACAAAAATGGTTTTTATTATTCATTTAATTTCAATAATGCTCTTTTAAGGAACTTCTATTTTGAATTATACATTTATAATTATTATAGGAAAATAAGTATTATAAATGTATGATCAAAATAAAAAACAACATTTAATGAAATAATTTTTAAATGGTATGCCTTTATGAAAAATAATGGATTATTGTATTATATAGGACAATTTATTACCATAGTATTTATATTTATTTCTAAACATTTTGTAGGGAAGTTATAATTATTAACTTATAGTATAATTAGTGTAAAGTGCATAATTAATTCTTGATAACATATTTTTTTGTTAAAAATATTTTGGATTATCATTTACATCTATCACAAAGTTTATTAAAGTATATAATATATTAAATTATATGTAAGAAATATAAAATTTAGGAATAAAATAAGACACATACAAATGATATTCCAAAATATTTTATTTTATTACCCATTAATATCCAATGTACAAAAGCATTTAAAGACATATATGAAATATTTTTGACATATTGATTACATCAATATACATTCTATTACAGTTTTTATATAAATTAAATATTTGTTATATTTTTTTATGTAGGACAATAATAAAAATTTATTCATTAATATTAAATATATTTATATAAAACATAACTTTATAAATATCCTCCCTTACTTTATGCATTTATATAAAGATGTTATTCCATTCAACTAAATAAATTACACCAACGTAGTTTTATATATGAGAAGAATTAAACAAAAATATATACTATAAAAATTAAAAATATTAATACATGTTTTATATACATATTTATAATTATGATATTTTTATCACCTAAGTCATTATTATAAATAAAAATTGTGTTTTCTTCTATTATTTCTAGTATATAAAAAATAATGATTCGCTCTAAAGAAAATTGTATAAAGGTATGCCTTTACATGTTATTAAAATTCTAATACCCATTACTGCATTTCATAATACACATACTCCCCAAACACATTATATATTTTACACTACAAAATATTA